TCATGTACACCGACCTTCTCTGGGGTCGCAGAGTCTGACCACACGTTGAGGTCAGACAGTTCCTCGTGCTGACGACAGAGGATTGGTATCCATTGATGCCATTGTCCAAGTGACATTGTACATACTTCACTAACTGTATACACAGTGTGTTCATGCCTGGAACACGAGTTCTAATGACAAGAGTCTGACGGATTGTTCAATTAAGCTGTTAAATTTTGATACTTGTAATCCTGAATTCCCATTGGTACTTTGATGAAATATATTTATCATTATCTAATAATTCCAAAATTGTCCAAGGTTGCTGCCTGGTCTTAGTGTGAACAAGCAATCAACGACTGACAGAGAAGGAAATTACATACATTGTTACACTGAAACATGTCAGTCTTTTTCGTTAATATATACACAATATATACCCGTGCTTGTCGTAGGAGTCGTCAGACTCGCTGATGCATCTCATGGTATCCAGTTTCGTAGATCGATGCTCATAATATTGGAGTATCTGTTTATTTACAGACCGCCTCCATATAGCTAGGGTATTGCCGAGTGCTGCGCTAAACACCAAGGAAAGAAACAAGCAAGCCTACAGTCAAAGTTTACACAGGAAACCATATTCAAACACGTGAATAATAACATGTTCATTGTAATCATGCATTCTGATTGGTTGAATTGGTCACGTGTTATTGGATTCATTTCCCAAGGAATGTCAAAATCATATGCCACCCCTATCGACGCTACTTCCACCACGTTTCTCGGAGTATCCCATTTACTCTCGCGGGAATAGCCTTCTGTTTACACGTTTCATTCATGCAAAGGACATTTTGGCTATGTTCAAACATGTTTAGGATCGCGCAAACCACCATCGATAACTAAAAGAAGCCGGAAAGGAATGAAATGTTTTTTGTTTCGATCAGCTGGCCAACACAGATTGTGTTTGTTTGTTTGTTTGTTCAGCGTCTCACCCAGCAATACTCAATCAGTATGACAGCGGTCTGTATATAATCGAGTCTAGCCCAGAAAATCCATAGATCAACAGCATGAGCATCGATCTACGAAAATGGGATACGATGACCAAGTCATCGAGAGTGACCACCCATCCTTATAGTCGCCACTTAATTTACGACAAGCATGGTTTGCTATAGACCAATTCTAACCCGAATCTTCACGGGTCCCTACACACATGACATATCTTCGGGTTTTGTCAGTGATTTCGTTCAATCGCTGTGCCCCCCACCCCCAGGGATTTCATTTATTCCCTAAAATTTCAAGAGATTTCATGAAATTTCTGATTTTCATGGTGTTCCATTACATACATTCCTGTTAGGATATCAGTGAATGTGTGAAATTAATGTTTGTAGCTTAAAACGTTTATAAAACTTTACAACAATTTACTGTTGAGTCTCATTTTATCACTCAGTTCTTGGGAGTTATAAACTTTGACAATTTACTGATGCCACTCTTGGTTTATTACTCCCTTCAATTTCAATAAAGGCAGATAGGGGTTTCATGAAATCCCTGAGCCAATATTTCAGTAATTTCATGAAAATCCCTTAGAATTTTAGGGAATACATAAACTACCTGAGGGTCGCAGTAATTTCACGAAATCACTGACTCTTTTAGGGACTACGTGAAATTTCTGTTTTCCCACATTCCATGTAACATGTACAAGTTCTAAGGAAACCAATGCTTAAATCTCATTTAAAGAACCGCCTACTTCCTGACATAATTGCTCCGGTTCGTTACAGTCTGACTGTTGTTCTTTTTCTCGCCCCTTTCCGTGATTGACAAGTCCTGAGAACTTTTGATTTTATATACCTTCCTGTTGTTTGGCTACTGACTTTGTGGGCGTGTCAAGCTATATGCATAAATTAAATCATTATCTATTACGTTACACCACAGTATGTATTCCTTCGCCTGAAATGTTTATCAATCTCGTAATTTCTGTCTGGGTTAATTTATATGGTTGTTTTTAATGAAACTATTGAGGATATCTCATTTGTGCGGATTCATACAGATTACATAATATCGCTTTTTCAGTAAATAAAAAAATTCACCACAGTCAATCCATAAAGTAATTAATCCTAGCATGGACCTTAACACGCTTCAGTCCTCAGGCTCTGTGCTGCTGGTATGTAAGATAGGACATTTTTAACATTCACGTAGTATATTATCTCTTGTCTACAACCACTTACATCCAGTTCGTTGCTGTATCACGTCATGCTTAGGCTGAATATAAAGTCGTTCAGATCTGTCACACCCTGAAAATGAAAACCCATAGTTGTACAGGTATTATCAGCTTCGCTTCCGTCTTAACACAGAACTGTTTTAGGGGAAGTTGTCATTGTCTGAATATCCGGCTAGAAGTGGTCTTCAGCAACCCATGCTTGTCGTAACGGGCAACTAACGGGTGGTCAGACTCGCTGACTTGGTTGACACATGTCATCGTATCACAATTGCGTACTTCGGTGCTCATGATGTTGATCACTGGATTGTCTGGTCCAGACTTGATTACTTATAGCCCGCCACCATAAAGATGGAATTTTGAAATACGGTCTTAAACAACAACCAAACCGAACCAGTATCTGAAATAGCGTTAAACACTAATGAAATAAAACCCAGTTAATGACTGACCTGTCAGGAGATACAAGTGTATGGCGTGGACTCTCGGTCCAGTGTCAAACCGCTCTGATCGCTCGCAACCTTTGAACAAAACATTGCCCCTTATCAGAGTACATAAGAGATGGCCTAACACTGCTCCATCCTAAAGTTTCCTCAGACTTTGCTATTTCTTATGACGCACCTTGGACGGTGCTCTTGCGACAATTTAATCCTTCGGTAAAAGGAAGGTATATTGATCCATCTTTAAAACGAATATATATTGATCAGTCGGTAATGCAAACGTATATCGATCATTCGGTGAAGCAAACGCATATTGATCATTCGGTAAAGAAAACATATCGATCCATCGTTAAAACGAAGGTATTTCGAGACATCGTTAAAACGAAGGCATTCGAGTGGAAATCTCAGTGACACTATGTTCATACATTGTTAAATAAGTCCTTGATTGTAAATTGTGAGATTAATTATCAATCATTACATCATTGATCTGTTCATAATACATTGAATCCTCACTGAGTTTTTCTTATAGATCTCTGATAGTCAGTCGCTTGTTCAGTTACAGTTAATGTAGAACTTTCCCAACCCCACTTGTCTACTTGTTGCCATGTCGTCTCCTGGAATGTTTAAGTATTCATAAGTTAGTAAATCCTAGACTTTCGAATGCATTTAGGCTGAATGCTGGGTGTACCGCCTCTTTGTACCATGGGGCAATGGAGTAGCCTAGTGGTTAAAGCTTTCGTTCGTCACACCGAAAACCCGTGTTCGATTCCCCAGTGTGTGAAGCCCATGCCTGGCGTCCCCTGTCGAGATATTGCTGTAATATTGCTAAGTATAAATTAAATTAATCTCACTCAATCACTCTTTGTCTACCTTTCATGGTGGCGATATTATATTTTGACATTAAAGATAGTTTTCGAACCAAAGCGAGGGAAGTACGCTGCCAGCCTTTCTCGCATATAGGAAGACTGGTAGTTTTTCTCTGCTGTGCAACCTTAGCTGCTCTACAGTTTGCCTGTCTAAACCATACCGCTATGATGGGATACTCCACACCACTGACTTTGACCTTGACATCACAACAACGAATCAATACACTACACCCGAGTGATTACAGGCAACGTACTCATACCTTTTAACACGTGATCCCATTCAGGCCTTTTATGCAGCTGTTAACAAACGTGTTTACGCCGCGGCTGAGACGTTTTGAACGTCGGAATGTGCAATGAGCTGAACTGAATACAATAGGTGACAGAGACCTGGGGATTTGAAAAGGGTCATATTTCCTTTCGTAATATTAGTGGAGTGTAGAGTATTCACACAAAATGCCTTAACGTTTTCTCAGGGTATAACAGCATATTCAAACGGTACCACTTGCGCTTACAATATTAAAACCGCTTGAGATGTATCATGTATGCCTGGTGTGACTTCAATAAGAACGCCATGTACGTGTTCCAAACAAATACCCACGTACCTTCAACCACTGGGTACAGTATGTGAAGCCCATTCCTGCTGTCCAACGCAGGAATGTTACTAACAGCGCCCCAAATCCACCTCATTCAGTACCTTGAAACAACGAATTTAATCTTACCTATGAGAACGTGATCCCAGGTGACCACTGTACTATGTCCTCGACGAACAACCGAGGGTTTCTACAAGTCTACATACCAGTCCCGATCACGGATACAAGTCCTGACCACGAACAATACTGTGACGCTCTTTGTGGTCTAACCATGTATGACAGTAAGCATTAAATTGCAATGTCAAAAGTCATTCTTGCCTTCAGTGCATAAATATGTGCGGAGTGAGCGGTTGAATGTTGTTTTTGTACCTAACAGCACATGTGTTCGTGTCACCCGTTATGTGTTCACGCCCAGTTTCTCCATATTTTCATTCAGTGTTTCACGTCTTGAGGAGCTTGGCATTCTGCATGATTCCAGCCATACATACAGACAGACAGACAGACAGACAGACAGACAGACAGACAGACAGACAGACAGACAGACAGACAGACAGACAGACAGACAGACAGACAGACAGACAGACAGACAGACAGACAGACAGACAGACAGACAGACATGCATGCAGGCAGACAGACACACAGGCATATAGACAGACATGCAGACAGACAGACAGACATGCAGACAGACAGACAGACATGCATGCAGGCAGGCAGACAGACAGACAGGCATATACACAGGCATGCAGTCAGAAAGACAGACAGACAGACAGACAGACAGGGTCACGGTAAAGACTCGACTTCAATTCTCCACATACATACATCCAGTCCCATTCCTAGTGTACCTCGCCGTAGCATATTCTCTCATTTACCCACACAACATGCAAACAGTAATGTTGTGCATATCGATGCAGGGCACGCTTTGTTATACAACACCGGTTGTATGACGTCATCAACATACCCGCAACTGTAGGCGTCTCGGCGAAGAGCGACTCCCACTGTTCATCTCCTACCATGTCTTAATACAGAGTTCTGTATTTGTAGATGTGTTACATGTCCTGGAATGATGTGAGGGAATAATTTTACAACACTTAGGTGAGTAAATCGTCAGGGTTAGGCTTGATCTGCTTTGAAAATAAATAAATAATGGGTATTACACGGAAGTAGATGCATTGCATGTATATTTCTGTCAATCGTGGCCATACAACTCTTACCCTTTAATACCATACTACGGTTCTTGTTCAATATTTCCGGTGACAGTTTCCTCGAGTGTCAGAGTTAATTCTGATCGCTCTGTTATTAGTAAATGTCCAATTATAATAAAAGAGGGGAATCCCCCAGTTTCGATTTCCCCCTACCCGGTGTACCAGTAACATTGTTGACTGTAGATATTGAACCCATATAACACAGTACCCATGCATGAGAGTGAACGATCCAAGCTCAGTTTAGGGATATGATTGTTATCCAAATGTAATATAAATGTGCAGCAAGTTAATATGCAGAGAATCATTAGCTTGACACGTGAGGGCGATAATGACGGCTGCTCTTAAATGGAGACAGAGAACATGCTATTTATAGTATGAATGCATAGTATTTTTAACGTTCAACTGCCCACAAGCGTGTCGGTGTGTATGGATGGATGTGTAGCTGGACCTGACTGAATACATGGCCATTCATTTCTTCTTTTCCACCTCTAGATGCCTGGGATCATGATAAAGTCAATAAAAGAGGTGGGTGAGTGTACCAGAGGGTAACCAGAAGAATTTATGAGTGCACAATATATAGTTTGCATAGAGAGCTGTAGATTTAGAGTTGGCATTTTCAAGAAGATTCATGAGACAATCGTTATTTACATTTTGAGTAAGTACTGGGTAAGTGAGCGAGCAAATTATCAGTCGGTTGGTGTCACATGTTACGAAGGTCTGTAGATTTATTATCATGTAATCATTTTCATTGTGAATTATCAATCAAATACACTTAAAATAACACTTATCTAGTGTCTCCGTATACCTGTGGTGGTCTATATGAGTACCATCGGTCGTCTAGATGCTGTCGCCGACAACGAAGATGGCTGCAGACACGAGTGATGTCAGTACCGACGATCGTGACAACAATGATTGTTCTCAGCGTGACCACACAGAAGAGGCATGCACAGCCCCGGTTGATCAGCAAAGTAAGATATCGCACTGCCAAAAACGACGTGTATATTCCATGTTCTGAGTGTTAAATTATCAAATGTAGTCTTACTGCGAGAACGCTTATAATTCTTTTTATTGAGTTTACTAACTTCAGACACGCAAAAACGAACATTATGTCAGTGGAAAAGACAGTTGGTTTTTGGTCAATAAGATAATTGTAACTCGTACCGACATTGTATTTTAAGTGATCTCTGAGAGGAATTGTTTCGTAAGGATTGTTATGTCGGTCCTACTGTTTCGAAATTAATGGCACACCATATACTTTAACATTAAATTTGGAGAAATATCAGGGTTTTACCAAATTTTGGAAGTTTAGCCAAATATACCTGTTATTTGCACAAACATATGAATAAATATAACACAGCGGCGGATCAATGATTCTGGAGAAGGGGAGATGCACATATATCATGAAGTCCAAAATGTATGGGGAAATGCTACTCAGGGGAAAGAAATCAGAGGAAAATTGGGAGAGCCCTGATGCACCATCACTTGATAACAAAGAAACCTGATATGTCCGTCTCCAAATTTAAAAGGGGTGGTGGTAGCCAACTGGTTAAAGCATTCGCCCGTCACGCCGAAGGTCCAGGTTCTATTTCTCACATGGGTACAATGTATGAATCCCATTTCTGGTGTGCCCGGTCGCAATATTGCTGGTATATTGCTAAATGCCCAGTAAATCAATAGTTACTCACTCCAAATTCATTGGGACCATATATCCCGCTCCTCTTCAAAAGAAGATCCTAGATGGTTGAGTGTTTCTCCAAACAAGATAAGGGATCAGTCTGGGTTTTTGTTTCTGGAAATTATTATATATACTGAGTCAAAAAAGAAATTTCACAAAATGTAATTTGAAAAATAATGAATAATTTTTCTCTGATGATACATCTATGTATCCGAAATGGGATCCCTATCTTTCTACTCTAGAAAACCGTTAGCAAAACCCACTCAAACCAATCCATACGTCGTGCAAATGAAGTTAGTTCCAAATCAGGTTTTGCACGTGCAGTCGATCACGTGATCTTCGCATCGATGTTTTCTTCTTATACACGTGTTTGCATTGGCCGCAAGAATTGGAAAAACACTTTTAAACCACAGTTCTAACGGTACTTGAAATGCCACGATTGTCAAATGTGCAACGTGAACGTGCCGTTGGCATGTTGCAAGCGGTAAGATCAGTTATTGACGTCGCAAGGGCAATGTGATGCAGACGTCGTACTGTGTATGACTTGCGAGGTCGTCTACAACAAACTGGCACCACTTCTGATCGCCCAAGGTCGGGTCGTCCACAGGTGACGTCACGAGCAGAAGACCGTCCAATCGTCCTACGTCACCTACTTGACAGATTTCTGCCGGCTACACGAACCAGAGCTGAGATGTTTAGAGGTCGACTGTCCTCACAGACCATTCGAAATCGGTTGCGGGCTGCCAATCTCCATTCCCGACGTCCATATCGTGGGCCAATATTGACGCCGTTTCACCAGCGTCAACGCCTGCTGTGGGCCCAATGTCACCTCCAATAGTCCAAGAGGGACTGGAATCGAGTCGTCTTTAGCGATGAATCCAGGTTTTACCCTCAGATTCGGGGACGACAGGCGTCGTCAGACGACCTCGTGAACGGTATGCCCAATGTTGTGTACAGGAAGTCGACAGATTCGGGGGCAGAAGTTGCATGGTGTGGGGTGCTTTCCGTGGGAACAACCGTTCCCGACTTCTGGTCATCCGTGGAAACCTCACAGCTGCTGCTTACCTCGACCAGGTTCTCACCCCCTGAACTCGTTCCTTTCATGGTGGCTCATGGCCCAGGTCTACAGTTCCAGCATGATAATGCTCGGCCGCATACCGCGATATTGACACGAAATTTCCTTCAAAACGCTGGAATCAACGTCATGGACTGGCCATCGAGGTCCCCTGACCTTGATCCAATACAGCACGTTTGGGATGCACTTGGGAGAAGGCTTCGTGGTCTTAGGAACCAACCTCAGAATTTGCAGGAACTTGGCGCTGTCTTGCAAGAGCAAAGGCGCAGAATCTCCAACCACGTGTTCACAAGCATCAGGCAGTCGATGAGGAGACTTGTGTTCGGCAGTGGTGAATGCACGGGGCGGCCATACACGAAATTTCGCATTTTTATTCTAGTGACTTGACATTCCGTATACCCATTTTTGGGAACGGCGGTGTAGCCAAATGGAACTGATTATGGCACCGTCAGTGTATCGAGTACATCACACAGATCTCAGCAAGGAAATAATAACAATTTAAAACCATCTTACCCTCTTTTGTTCTTTTATAGTGCCCTGAAGAAAGAATGTGAAGTTTCTTTTTTGACTCAGTATATATTGTGGAAATAATGAGAATAGTTTGTAACAAACTTGCAACGAATTGCACAATCGTCCACTATATTCAGTTTGCAATTTACTACATATGATGAACCTTGTAAATGTAAGCATTATTGTTGAATTTAGTGAGTGAGTAATTACTGTTATTCACAAGCATCATCAAGTTGTTTTACTTGAAATAAGGAGGTAATAACGAAGTCGTTTTAGGCACTTAGAAATTGCAAGAGTGAATAAGTATAGCTTTGCGCCTTTTCACGCAATATTCCAGCAATAACACGGCCTAGGACACCATTGTACCAATTTGGGGAAACGAAAGAATCCCACACTCCAGAGATTGGAAGAACTAGAGTAGATGATAACATTGTGTGTTTTTGTTGTTTCTGTTGTTGTTTTAGACGTTTCGATGTCTTATCACGTATGTGGGTCGAACCAAAGTACTGTCAATGAAAATACAGCGTGTGGTGTTTTGATCAAGGAACAAAACATCCGTGAACAGCATGTGCATAATGGTATGTATTACAAACACGTGGACTGAGAGTGACATGGGCACCATGACACTCTGCAGTTTCATGGAATTCAGTATCCACTGCAATTCTCAGTTTAACACTGTACAGAAAGGCAGTTCACTCAGCACAGTGTAATACAGTACAGAAAGGTAGTTTACACAACACAGTGTAATACAGTACAGAAAGGTAGTTCACACAACACAGTGTAATACAATACAGAAAGGTTCACACTACTAATACCACACTATTGAGTCCATGAAGTAAGGGCACACAATACGGCAGTATAGAGCACAGGAAGGTAGGACACATAGTAAAATATTGTGGAGTACAAGGAGGTAAGACATATTGTAAAATACTGTAGAGTACAAGAAGGTAGGACTCATAGTAAAATACTGCTGAGTACAAGAAGGTAGGACACATAGTAAAATATTGTAGAGTACAAGAAGGTAGGACACATAGTAAAATACTGTAGAGTACAAGAAGGTAGGACACATAGTAAAATATTGTAGAGTACAAGAAGGTAGGACACATAGTAAAATACTGTAGAGTACAAGAAGGTAGGACACATAGTAAAATATTGTAGAGTACAAGAAGGTAGGACACATAGTAAAATACTGTAGAGTACAAGAAGGTAGGATACATGGTAAAGTACTGTAGAGTACAAGAAGGTAGGACACAAAGTAAAATACTGTAGAGTACAAGAAGGTAGACCACATAGTAAAATACTGTAGAGTACAAGAAGGTAGGACACATAGCAAAATATTGTAGAGTACAAGAAGGTAGGACACATAGTAAAATATTGTAGAGTACAAGAAGGTAGGACACATAGTAAAATACTGTAAAGTACAAGAAGGTAGGAAACATGGTAAAGTACTGTAGAGTACAAGAAGGTAGGACACATAGCAAAATATTGTAGAGTACAAGAAGGTAGGACACAAAGTAAAATACTGTAGAGTACAAGAAGGTAGGACACAAAGTAAAATACTGTAGAGTACAAGAAGGTAGGACACATAGTCAAAATATTGTAGAGTACAAGAAGGTAGGACACATAGTAAAATATTGTAGAGTACAAGAAGGTAGGACACAAAGTAAAATACTGTAGAGTACAAGAAGGTAGGATACATGGTAAAATACTGTAGAGTACAAGAAGGTGGGAGTACAAATGTAGAGTACAATAGGTGACACATAGGTAAAATACTGTGGGAGTACAAGAAGGTGAAGACACACACAAAGAAGGTGGGACACATACAAAATACTGTAGGTACACATGGGACACAAATAGTAAAATAGAGCAAGGTAGGTAGGACACATAGACATGGGACACATAAAATAGTGTAGAGTACAAGAAGGTGGGACACATAGTAAAAATACTGTAGAGTACAAGAAGGTAGGACACATAGTAAAATACTGTAGAGTACAAGAAGGTAGGACACAAAGTAAAATACTGTAGAGTACAAGAAGGTAGGACACATAGTAAAATATTGTAGAGTACAAGAAGGTAGGACACATAGTAAAATACTGTAGAGTACAAGAAGGTACAGGACACATACACAAACATGCTGTAGAGTACAAGAAGGTGGGACACATAGTAAAATGTTGTAGAGTACAAGAAGGTGGGACACATAGTAAAAATACTGTAGAGTACAAGAAGGTAGGACACATAGTAAAATACTGTAGAGTACAAGAAGGTAGGACACATAGCAAAATACTGTAGAGTACAAGAAGGTAGGACACATAGTAAAATACTGTAGAGTACAAGAAGGTAGGACACATAGTAAAATACTGTAGAGTACAAGAAGGTAGGACCACATAGTAAAATACTGTAGAGTACAAGAAGGTAGGACACATAGTAAAATATTGTAGAGTACAAGAAAGGTGGGACATAATAGTAAAATACTGTAGAGCACAAGAAGGTAGGACACAAAGTAAAATACTGTGAAGTACAAGAAGGCAAGGAAAGGTAGGGACACATAGTAAAATACTGTGAGTGAACAAGAAGGTGGGACACATAGCAAAAATATTGTAGAGTACAAAGAAGGTAGGACACATAGTAAAATATTGTGAGAGTACAAGAAGGTGGGACACATAGTAAAATACTGTGGGAGTACAAGAAGGTGGGACACATAGTAAAAATACTGTGGGAGTACAAGAAGGTGGGACACATAGTAAAATACTGTGTACAAGGAAGATTGGGACACAAGTAAAAGTACTATGTAGGGTACAGGAGATTGGGATACAAAGTAAAATACTGTAGAGTACAAGAAGGTGGGACACATAGTAAAATACTGTAAGAGTACAAGAAGGTGGGACACATAGTAAAATATTGTAGGGAGTACAAGAAGGTGGGACACATAGTAAAATACTGTAGAGTACAAGAAGGTGGGACACATAGTAAAATGCTATAAGAATTACACAGAAGGTGGGACACATAGCAAAATGTTAGACCATATAGAGATGTACAAAGGAAGGTGGGACACATAGTAAAATATTGTGGGAGTACAAGAAGGTGGGACACATAGTAAAATACTGTAGAGAGTACAAGAGGTGGGACACAGTAAAATACTGTAAAAGACAAGAGAGACTGACCTAAAAAGTGGAAATACTGTGAGGTACAAGAAGGTGGGACACATAGTAAAATGCTGTAGAGTACAGAAGGTGGGACACAAAGTAAAATATTGTAAGAGTACAAGAAGGTGGGACACATAATAAAATACTGTAGAGTACAAAAGAATTACATACTGTAGAGGTACAAGAGGTGGGACATGAGAGTAAAAATACAGTGAAAGTACAAGTACTTGGGGAGTACAAGAAGGTGGGACACATAGTAACATGTAAGAGTACAAGGAAAAATGGGACACATAGTAAAATACAGAGTGCTATGTGAAGTTACAAGAAGGTGGGACACATAGTAAAATACTGTGGAGAGTACAAGAAGGTGGGACACAAAAGTAAAATACTGTAGAGAACACAAGAAGGTGGGACCACAGTAAAATACTGTGAGAGAGTGCAAGGAAGGTGGGACACATAAGTAAAATACTGTAAGAGTACAAGAAGGTGGGACACAAAATTAAACATGTAAGTACAAAATACTGTAGAGTACAAGATTACAAGAAGGTGGGACACAATACTGTGGGAGGTACAAAGTTAAAATACTGTGGAGAGTACAAGAAGAACTAAAAGTAAACCACATGAGTACAAAAATACTGTAAAAGAAAGTACAAGGAAGGTGGGACACATAGCAAAATATTGTAGAGTACAAGAAGATGGGACACATAGTAAAATATTGTAAGAGTACAAAGAAGATGGGACACATAGTAAAATACTGTAGAGTACAAGAAGGTGGGAAACAAAGTAAAATACTGTAGAGTACAAGAAGGTGGGACACAGAGTAAAATACTGTAGAGTACAAGAAGGTGGGACACATAGCAAAATATTGTGTAGAGTACAAGAAGGTGGGATACATAAAGTAAAGTACTGTAAGAGAGTACAAAGAAGGTGGGACACAAAGTAGTAAAATACGGTAGAGTACAAGAAGATTAGACCACATAATAAAATGCTGTAAAGTACAAGAAGGTGGGACACATAGTAAAATACGGTAGAAAGTACAAGCAGGTAGGACACATAGTAAAATACTGTAGGGTACAAATAGGTTGGACACATAGTAAAATCCTGTAGAGTACAAGAAGGTAGGACTTACGACACTATTCTGTAGAGTACAAGATGGTAGGACACATAGTAAAATCCTCCAGAGTACAAGAAGGTAGGACACATAGTTAAATACTGTAGAGTACAAGAAGGTAGGAAACATGGTAAAGTACTGTAGAGTACAAGAAGGTAGGACACATAGCAAAATATTGTAGAGTACAAGAAGGTAGGACACAAAGTAAAATACTGTAGAGTACAAGAAGGTAGGACACAAAGTAAAATACTGTAGAGTACAAGAAGGTAGGACACATAGCAAAATATTGTAGAGTACAAGAAGGTGGGACACATAGTAAAAAAATACTGTGGGGGAGTACAAGAAGGTGGGACACACATAGCAAAATATTGTAGAGTACAAGAAGGTGGGACACATAGTAAAATATTGTAGAGAATTACAAGAAGGTAGGACACATAGTAAAATACTGTAGAGTACAAGAAGGTAGGATACATGGTAAAATACTGTAGAGTACAAGAAGGTAGGACACATAGTAAAATACTGTAGAGTACAGGAAGGTAGGACACATAGTAAAATACTGTAGAGTACAAGAAGGTAGGACACATAGTAAAATACTGTAGAGTACAAGAAGGTAGGACACATAGTAAAATACTGTAGAGTACAAGAAGGTAGGACACATAGTAAAATACTGTAGAGTACAAGATGATAGGACACATAGTAAAGTACGATAGAGTACAAGAAGGTAGGACACATAGTAAAATACTGTAGAGTACAAGAAGGTAGGACACATAGTAAAATACGGTAGAGTACAAGCAGGTAGGACACATAGTAAAATACTGTAGGGTACAAATAGGTTGGACACATAGTAAAATCCTGTAGAGTACAAGAAGGTAGGACTTACGACACTATTCTGTAGAGTACAAGCAGGTAGGACACATAGTAAAATCCTCCAGAGTACAAGAAGGTAGGACACATAGTAAAATACTGTAGAGTACAAAAGGGTAGGACATACGACAATATTCGGTAGAGTACAAGAAGGTAGGACACATAGTAAAATCCTGCAGAGTACAAAAAGGTAGGACATAAACCTCTATTCTGTAGAGTACAAAAAGGTAGGGCATAAACGTCTATTCTGTAGAGTAGAAGAAGGTAGGACCTATACCTCTATTCTGTAGAGTACAAGAAGGTAGGACATAAACCTATATTCTGTAGAGTACAAGGAGGTAGGGCATAAACCTCTATTCTGTAGAATACAAGAAGGTAGGACATAAACCTATATTCCGGAGAGAACAAAAAGTAGGACATAAACCTCTGTTCTGTAGAGAACAAGAAGGTAGGACATAAACCTCTATTCCGTAGAGTACAAGAAAGTAAGACATAAACCTCTATTCCGTAGAGAACAAGAAAGCAGGACATAAGCCCCTATTTTGTAGAGAACTAGAAAGTAGGACATAAACCTCTATTCTGTAGAGAACAAGAAGGTAGGACATAAACCTCTATTCTGTAGAGAACAAGGAGGTAGGAAATACAACACTATTCTGTGTAGAACAAGGAGGTAGGACATAAACCACTTTCTGTAGAGTAGAAGAAGTAGGACATAAACTTCTATTCTGTAGAGAAAAAGAAGGTAGGACATAAACCTCTATTCTGTAGAGAACAAGGAGGTAGGAGATACTACACTATTCTGTAGAATGTAAGAATGAAGGATATAAACCACTTTCTGTAGAATACAAGAAGTAAAGACACACAACACTGTTCAGTAGAGCACAAAAAAGAATACGTCATACGACACATTACTATAGCGTACAAAACAGGGCACGTGGCACATGGAGATAGTGTAAGAAATGAGTGCTAAGCATACAGCACACAAGACAGCCGACAAACCAGCTTGAAAATTGACATATACTGATAAGTTTATTTTAAACAATAACTATCCATCAAGAAATCCATATATACATTTCGTAACATATTTAATTCAGGTTATTTGTTTACCTGTTTCAGCAGAGCCATCCGATGGTGTTACATTCTCTACTGACAAAGGTGTCAAGCCCAAAATACGGATATCGGGTAAGTTACTGTAATCGAACTTAGTGATTCAGAGGTCATTGTGTCATAATTTTCACTATCCACGACATATGTTTTCCCCAAATGTAATTTGCAACAAAACAAATACTGCATATTTTGTCGCTTATTATTTTACGGCTGTAATACGAAATACAATGCAAATGCCATATCTTTCTTCAGTTCCAGCAGAAAATGGTAAAACAATCGTGCAGGGTAAGCATAACCTTTTCTTAGATACATCTAATCTTATCCTTGTTTGGCAAACAACAGAACATTATCTACGAAATGCGCCATGCGATAAGTTATTATCGACCAGTGAGCACGAACGTGAATAAAACGACAGATATTTTCCAGCTTATTGAGGATTTATGTTCCAAAATCAATCATTTGCCTCTTATGCACAACGTTAACGCTTGAAATATCACATGAATATCTAGTAAGTGATAGGATGAACAGTCTAACTACGTTAATGATAAACTGACAGATAAAACAAACTGACATTTTTGCTGCAATATGTAGCTATTATATTTCAAACAAAATGTATATCATGAACAACGGTTGTTTCGAACTAATACTTGTGTTCCTTGTCAGTTTGTTAAAACCGTAAGGACTCTAATGGAGCCAATGCTGAAATTATTTCGATATTGTATCACAAACACTAGAACCAATCAATTCTTTGACTCTCTTTCTTATGTAAAGATATGTGCTATTTTTTTGTTTCATTTTGACAGTTGAATGTGCCAACAACAAGATGACTCGCTGTTGCTATGAACAAGATGACGGTCAGGGACGGTCTCTCGGGTCAACATGGATTTTTGAGAATGTTGTGCACGGACTGATAGAAAGCATTGTGAGCGACGGTGATTTCATTGAGTTCATTGATAAACTGAACGAACTTTATCGTTGTAAATTAAAAAAAATGCACAACCAGTCATGTCTAGTTTTGGAATTCCTACATGATACTGAGGAAGATAGAAGCAGAATGATTCAAGACCAAGAAAAGGTGGAGACAATGTTTAAGAACTTTTTGCAAGGCATTGGAAAGGATGCTCCCAGCTGCAGTTTGCAAGTTTCCACTGAGCCGGCAACTGACAACATCAGTGATGCCAAAGAAAGGGCGGAGGACAAGGAAGATGCGGCCGCCTTGCCTTCACAGTCTTTGAGTGAAGATGCGAAAAAGAGGTTGGTGAAAATCCAGTAAACACTCAACTTACATTAGATTCGTAATCAGGATTCAGTAGTGTGCGTTCAGCAATTCATACTTGCATAACCTAGTTTTTTTCAGTGGATATCGGTGATCATATTGAACAACCTATAAATGAATACACAATGCCATTTAGAAAGTGGTCAAATGTAACTTATAATGTTTGGGATTACACTTTCACAATAAAGTACAGATTCTAGTACTCTTTGCTGGGTTGAGTTCCATCCAGGATTCGAACCGACACCATCAGATTCAGGCAGATTCGCCAAATATAACATGAGAAAGTGTAATTCCAAATGTAACCCATGTTACATTTGACCACATTCTAAAAGGCATTGTGTATTCATAGCTTTCGACCTTGGAAGCTGTGCCAATTTATGCTTAGCAGATGAGCACACTACGTCCGTAGTCCACACTACACGTTGTCGGACTTCCATTGGGTGGAATCTGCGGTAGCTGAGTGGGTTAGGCTTCTCAATTTGTGTACTGACGATTCGCTTATCACACTGTAGAACTTATTTGTATTCACTGGATATCAATCATCTGGTAATCCAATGATTAGTCTAGTTTAGAGACGAAAGTGCTGCTTGGATACAACATATAAATTTACTGTTTTTCTGAAAACACAACGGTAAACTCTTTCCAGAAAGTTACATCCGAGATCATCAGGCGAGAAAAGTGAACTTAAAAAAAGGTAAGCAAATCAAGGTGGTTCTTAACTGTGAGAAAGAGAATGGTATTTTTGTGTCACTGCCTCAGCCTCTTTTTGACGCACGACCAGTGAACAATTATATTTTGTAAACATGAGGCAAAAGTACTTTGGTCACAACGACCGAAAGGCTGTTTCGTCAATTTTCAAAAGGAAAGTAATGCTTGATATAACTTCTATATTTACTATTTCTGAACTTACTGAGGTAAGCCAGTCATGTCTTGTCGTCGTGTGTCGCTGAAGGAGCGGTGGTCATACTGTTGGTCGCCATTCCTGAAGATTGTTCCTCGTCAGTCGGTTCCTGACAGTCTGATCAGATACCAAGGTACCTGTGGCAGCTCTCGGTTGGTCACGAAGTTGTCTGGCAGTTACTCTGCGATGTGGGAGGGCCATATTTGTCAGGTATCGGTCTTCTCTAGGAGTTGTTAATGGAGGCCTGCCAGAACGTGGTCGATTAGTCAGCGTTCCAGTGACACGAAACCGGTGTCATAACCTTCCAATGACACTCTGACTCACATTAAGTCTCTGACGTCTTGCTATTGTTGAATTTCAAGTGACAATAACAATGCGACAATTGCGAGTTTTATAGGGAAAATAAGCATGCACAGCACTAATCCCACAAAGAACATAAGCAAATGTTGTTCATGATGAAACATCATCTTCCACAAGCATAGTGGTGGCGCTTCTGTGAAGCACTCGATGTTTCAATTTGTTCATTTCTTAAAACCCTACCACATGATGACTATTGGCACCACGTTTATCTGCAGCCTTTATCAAGATTCTGCAATGGTTTTGATTAAATTACCACACACAGAATGTAAAATTTTATTCATGTATAATGCAACCAGTCTCATCAATAACATTACATGATGAAATCTCATAACCCTTAATTTGTTTTGAGTAGTATATTACATTTGACCCCATTCTAAACGGCATTGTGTATTCATAGTTTTTTTTACACTTTACAATTTACACATCAGAGGGGTACAGAGAGTCCGTAGTACACACTACCAGTTGTCGGATTTCCATTGTGTGGAATCCGCGGTAGCTGAGTGGGTTAGGCTTCTCACTTTGATGATGAGGGTGCTTGACTTGAGATTGAGGGTATGAATCCCGGATGGGACTCAACCCAACAAAAGTATTAGAATCTGTACTTTAATGAGAAAATGTAATCCAAAATATAACATATGTAACCTATCAATGTCCAGCTGCTATCGGTTAACTGGAAATGAATATTTTCAAGGTCATTTTCGTAGATTTTCGCAATAAAATTGTTGTTTGGATAAAACATACATTCTTACTTTAAACTCTTTCCAGGAAGTTACCTCCGAGATCACCAGACGAGAAGAGTGAACTTAAAAAAAAGTAAGTAAATCAAGGTGGCTCTTAACAGTTAGAAACAGAATGGTATTTTTGTGTCACTGCCTAAACACAAAACCCCTATTTTCGTGGATCAGCAACACTGTTTTTGACGCATGACCAGTAAACAATTATATTTTGTAAATATGAGGCAAAAGTACTTTTGTCACAACGAACGAAAGGCTGTTTCGTCACTTTTAAAAAGGAAAATAATGTTTTGATATAACTTCTATATTTACTATTTCTGAAAGTACTAAGGTACGCCACTCTTTTCAGGAAGTTAACTCAGGGATCATCAAAAGAGAAAAGTCAACACTACAAAAGGTAAGTAAATCTTTTGGATCTTCTCACTTAAAAACAGAATGTGTTTTGGTCATTGTGTTAACAGAAACACCCTAATTTTATATATTCACTCTTTTCTGTAAGAACATGTCACGGCCTCAGCAGAAACACCCTATTTTGATATATTCATCCTTTTCTGTAAGCACTAAAAGTTATGCTGTTTTCATTAGTGGTGCCACAGATGAAATGGCAGCAGATACTGAACATGCTGTCAGCCTGCCTTCAACGTCTGCGGCTGAAATTGTGAAAGAAAGCATTGGTGTAAATCCAGAGGTTATCCCATTTGCATCAAATTTGTAAGATGAACAAGTTGATACTCTACAACCTGTGAATGTTCAATGGATACGGGTTATCACATTGCACACTTTATCCATCGTGAATATATATCAGTTGTCAAACTCTATGCTTTATTCATGTTGAATGGATATCGGTGATCACTGTATACAACTTATCTATGTTCATTGGAAATCAGCCTGGAAAAAAAGTAAAGCACCAAGTATTTTTTAGAAAGTATGTTTCGTCTAACATCAGTGATATGCACGCACAGTACGATGGTAAAAGTTGCATGCGTTTCTGAATGAGCTATTTGCACTCACCACGAGAAGACTGCTTTTCACGAGTGCCTATTGAACATAGAAACACGTGCAAATTAAATACCGACATGTGGCACGTGCACAAAATCAACTTGTGAAAAAAGCTTGGTTTTGCTCCTGGACATTCTCTTTAGTGTGTGTTTGGGAGGCACTTTCCACTTAGTCCACTTGCAATAATTTCTTAAATGAACATAATTATCATGTGTGTATTCATTCACAAGCTGAATATGAACATATTCTGTAAGCGCTCAACATATTTAATGGTACTTAACGTTCATCCGTTTGTACACTGAACGGCAAAAAAGCGTCACTCCCTTTTTTCAAATTGGTAATCAGTTTAATTCAAACACATGTAAATAACATAATAATTGTCAGAAAGATTTCAAAATTGACATGTTTGATAATCAATACTTAAAGACGAATTTCAAACAACGATAAGTCAAACTGATGTCAATAACGTGTATGGCCTCCTTGAGAGTTGACAACAGCGTTGCATCGTCTGCACATGGAGTGGATGATACCATAGGAACTTGCGCCCATACTCGGTGATACGCCGTAGAGAGTTCATCTGCAGTTGTCGGCCTTGGTCGCACATCATTGAGCCTCCTCTGAACTCGCCCCACAAGTGTTCTATCGGGTTTAAGTCTGGACTGAGGGCAGGCCATTGGCGATTTTGTCTGCCATGTTGACGGAGAAAGTCTCTAGTTGCTCTGGCAGTATGGGCATGCGCGTTGTCATGCTGGAAGGCGTGGTTTCCATGACGACCAAAATGTGGCAGGACGAAGGGTCTCAGCGCTTGATTGATGTAGCGGGCAGATGTTACACCATTTCCTCTACAAGGACCAATATTCTGGAACACCATAGGGCCCAGTTTGTGACTGAGAGCAATAGCACCCCACGCCATTATGCTCGGACCTCCCCACGAGTCTCTTTCCAGGACACAAACATCTGCAAAACGTTCCCCCGTCGTCGCCACACTCTCATTCTGCCATCAGCCGTCGAGACGCGATACCGGCTATCGTCGGAGTAGACTACAGTTAGCCACTCCCGGTGACGCCAATCTGATGATGTGTGGCCCACTGGAGACGAGCACGACGATGTCAAACAGTGAGGATTGGACCCCGGTACGGCCTGCGACATCTGACGTTTCTCTGCCTCAAACACCTCCGCACTGTGCCGGCGCTGATTGGTCCGTGTAGTTTCCGTAGCCCTAGCGAAACGATTTTGCAGGTGATGACGGACAATCTGCCGATTTGCTTCAACGTTTTCACAGGTGGTCTTACACTGCGAGGACGGTCGGCTGTGCTTCCAGTGGCTTGGACTCGTTGTTGCAGGTGGTATATTGTTCGAGCTGAACAGAAAAATGATTTGCAACATGTCTTGCAGTCTGGCCAGCATTCAGTCTTCCTAAAGCTTGGCCCCTCTGTTCCCTTGATAATCGTGGCATGTCGCTACTGTCGAACAGTGAATGATTCGGTGCATGTTCGGTGGCTCTTCTTATATTGATGACACCTCGGGATGCACGTGCATTGTCATTTTCATGAAATACGCACAAAACCCTTGTCCCTTCATTACTTTAGTAACTGCGTTTTGAGGACACGTTCTTTGTATCAAATACAGAATCTGAAACCAACTTTTCTTGAACACTGGCTACGAACCATGTCTCGCTTAAATATAAAAAGTGAAAAATTAATTAACATTCAGCTGAAACATATCTGGCAAAATGTTTGGTAGGATGACGTTTCTTTTGCAGTGTAGTATATATTTACTACTTTCTGTAAGCACTGATATAAGCAGTACCTTTTTCAGAAATGTATCTCCATGAACCTCTGAAGAGAAAAGTGCACATTATATATCATGACAAAACAAGACATGCATCACACAATCAAAAGTATATCAAAACTTATTACTTGCATATAGTATTATTTTTAAACCTATGGGTAGGGAGGTTCTGAGGATACCAACAAATAATAAATAATAATAACAATTCTTTTATATAGCTCCTAGTGTCCATCTGACTAGTTATTTGCTGGACGCTGTAATCAGAATCGGATCAACTTGTATTAGCCCGGATAACCCAAGCTGCCTGTGAGGTGCATCGAGGGTTAATGGTGACATGAGTTATCTCACCAGGTACTCATGTTCTGCTGGTTGAACAGAGGCAATTTTGAACTAAGTCACTTGTCTCACCTGTGTTTCGTTGTGGGACAGGACTGACATCCTAGAAACTCTCATGAGTGAAGCTGCCAAACATGGTCACTCACGGACTCTCTCCACGCTCAACGTTGCTTAACGTCAACTGATTAGTGACCTGAGATATATGCACAGGACCACAGACCACCAAATATGTAGGTAGGATGACATGATGCTCAAGGGTTTAGGTCCAGGTAATGGGGATATTTGCCCTTCCTGCCATTGCTTAAACTGAAAGTCATAAACATTTTTCAAAACCCCTGTAAGGTTACTCATGATTCATTAATTTGCTATCATTATGATTCTATTTTCAGTGAACCCACGGAATCCACGTCGCTCACAGGTGAGTAATTGCTAAAAATTACTTTTCTCCTTTACTGTATTGAAATAGGGGAACATGTTATGATGTTTTTCCAGGTATGGAAGTAAAGTGCTAGGAATGCTTGATTGTCTATACACCACCCAACCTAACCTGCAGGATCAATATCAGCATGAGGTGTTGTAAAGATGATTTTAATATATAATATGTGTGTGTGTCCTATATTATGCAACTTTTTCAACAGCATGAGATGTTTCATGAAACCGGAAAGTGGTGGTGATGTGTCAAGTAAATAGGCAAGGTATCCATATTTGTGCAGGAAAAATGGTGTGAAAGTATGTTCTGGTTTCTGCTAAATCGCTCCTGTTACTAGTATATGTGTAGAGTATTAAATGCTAATCATCCGAAATATTGGATATGTCATTTCTGGCTCCAATAATTATACCAGAAGGATTATTATGGTGTTACGAGATCAGATCACGATTCATTCTATCGATGCCGCTATGATTCCAATAGTATTCCTATAGTTTTGGTATTTGAAACCTGAGGAAATTTTTTACCATGGGTGTATCATCCCGGTTCGAAGAATAGGACAAAGCAACCAGCATGAGCGTTCGACCCGGTCTCTTTGTTCAGCGGCAGAACTCCAAAAACATAGAATATTTCTTGTTAATATTTGCTGTATAGATGAGGCCAGTGGCAAACTGGTACATATTTATAGATAGATATTCTGGGAGCAGATGTCATCTCCTGCTTCACTTGCGGATATTCTTATGCGCTATATTACACCGCAATGTTTTCATACTTAGAAAGCTGTACGTTTGTTCAAATCATGCATTGCTGAAATGATGAATAGATTTCAATTCCATGTCTCGTAAAACGGCCCATTAAAAATAGATCGACCACGAATATTGTCAAATTGTGTCCATTTCAAATGAATTATGATGTGCCTAAACCAGCACAACATACATGTACATCATTCTGTAGTTATATTGAATAAAAAGATATTTCCACTAATTAAAGTTACTCCCAGCACATGTCAAACAAATATCCCTCGATATCCGAGTTCCTTCTTAAGCAGCCCGTAGTAGTCTTACCATGTCTTTCATAGACATACAAATGATGGAGTCGTGTTCAATCTTATTCGGAGGCAGTCTCCTCCATAACCTCATTTTCAACGTGGCGATTGTTCTAGGTTGTTGAGGTTAAAATTCATCACAGATTCATTACGATGCGTTTTGTCAATAATTAGAGGTATGGAGTGTATTTATATATAATTCAAGCATTTAATACGTAGTTACTTTTTGGGTTATGCGTTACCCTAAACATCACAAGACATCGCAGAATCATTCAACATTCTATGGAACATGATTGAAGTTATTGACGAGGCAAGAGCATGCCTCAATCTTCTCATATTGCACCAAGACAAGTGGTAATGTAAACAGCCCTCTTGTGCTGGATGCCCATCGCCTTTTCATGAACATCTCTTGCTAAGTAATTATCCCTAGCAGCGATTTTATTGCTATTTTCAATGCCATACACTGCCGTTGAATTTTAGTAATGTTACTCTGTTGTGTATCTGTATGTCATTGTTGCTAAGAGTCTTGTCTTGGGCCGAAACAGACAAATGCAGTCATTTCTGTTGTATAAATATAACACCCCTGTGCATCTTGGACACCCGTTCCTGTTTGACACTGTTATTGATGACACATTGTGGTGGGTGGAGAGAAGGGTTGCTGACACTTTTTCTTTAACCATGTCACTTCAACCAGACAATGGTGAAGATTATAACGAATTATTTTCCTTACATGAGCTACATACTGCCCTTGAGCAAACTCATGATAAAGCAACAGGCGCTGGTGATATCCAGTATCAGCTCCAGAAGCATTTGCCTGATTCATGTCTGGAAACACTTCTAGATATATTTGACAAAATATGGACATCAGGGAATTTTCCACCTTCGTTGCGTAATACCATTGTGCCATTACCAAAACCTGACCGGGATCATACTGATCGTCTAATGACAGACCAATATATTTAGCGAGGTGTGTCTGTCAAACCATGGAACGAATGGTAAATAATGGATTAACTCGGTATATTGAAACCAGTATTCTTATAGTAAATATTCAATGTGGTGTCAGGAAAACTCGAAGTACGATTGATCATTGATCATGATTAGAAGCCCTTGTTAAAATGCTATAGTAACTGACAACATGCAGCATCGATATTCTTTGATCTCGAGAAAGCATAAGATACCACCTGGCACCATGGCATTTTGAAGGATTTACATGATTTTAGTTTAAGGGATGGTTTACCTCTTTTAATGCCACAGGTTTAACAGACAGGCAATTACAAGTTCAAGTGGGTTCAACCCTGGCTTATCATTACAATCACGATCGGCTGTACGGTGTGCAACAAGGCAGTATTTTGTCTGTCACATTGTTTAGCATTACGATCAACAGTTAATCAATGTTTTTAAATGATTCAATCGATGGATCAATTTTTGTGGATGATTTTAATATTTATTATCGCGGTACTAGGCATGCTATAAAACGGCAACTGCAGTTGTGTTTAAACAAAGCAATTAAATGGAGTTTGGAAAACGGCTTCACATTTTCTGAATTAAAAACAAATTGCATACACTTCTACCGTAAATATATACCGCATAAAAACCCAGAACTTTACATGCACTCCCATCAAAGTTGTTAAGGGGGTCAAGTTCTTAGGTCTAATTTTCTACTCCCATTAAACTTTCCTTCCTCAAATCAAATACCTAAAAATAAATGCCAGAAGGTACTCGATTTATTGAAAGTAATCTCTAATTCAAAGTGGGGAAGGGATCAAGCTACCCCCCTACACCTATATAGATCATCGCTCCGCTCGAGCCTTGAGTATGGCTCCATCATATATCGTTGAGCCTGCAAAAGTAACCTGAAACTATTAGATAACAGCTCTAGTATTAAAGGAGAAACAAGTGTCATATTAACGGGTCTTAAATATATGTCAATAAACATCCTAAATATAAACAATATATACTATTTTCAGACTCTCTTTCGTTTCTCCAAGCTATAAGTTTTTTCATCTTTTAATCAATATAATTGAATTGTATAATGATCTTGCTACTGGCCAATATGTCATCGCCCTCTGCTGGTTACCCAGCCAAGTTGGCATTCCAGGGAACAGTATGGCCGATTTTGCTACTAAAGCAGCACTCAACAAATCTGTGAGAGCATTTCTCATTCCATACCCTGATTACAAAACTATTATTAGATCTTTTATTAGTGATCTGATGCCAAAGAAGTGGGACGCCCATGTAGGTATCAATAAATTACATACAAATAAACCAACTATCGGTTACACCTACTTGAGTTGTAAGACCAGATCTGAAGAGGTACGACGATTATACGACGATGTCGTATTGGCCACAACAGATATTCACATGAATATTTATTGAAAGGTGAGGATCCTCCGTTTTGCATCCCTTGTAATTTTAGTGTTGTCATTTTGATTTTGGTCATCTGCTGAATGGTTAAATAAAGTCCGGAAGCAAAAGTATTCTAAGTCCCCATGGTCCCTAGTATGGTGATCGTCCATCAGTCGTTGACCTATAGTCTGCTTTTATATCGCATGGTTTTCGTTAGTAAAATGTTTTTTGAATTACATGCTAGTTTTAACACACTCTGTGATACTCTACTTATTCTACAGCCCTTCGATGACTGGTTGTTTAACATCTCGGATATATTGTGTATATGCTACAAACAAAAAGTATGGGACACCCTAAAATTTGATAGTCATACATGAAATTGAACGTGGTGAGGTCCTTGATACGCTAAGGTCAATGTAACTTTTGTGTGCTTAATGGACACTTTCAACGACATGATGGAACTTGCAGTGAAGCAACTGATTCAGCATACGTTGAGTTTGAGTAAAATGAAACAATGTCATAAACAGTGAAAAACTAGGGTGCTGAAACACACCAGCACCATGTTTGATTTAAACGCCCAATGGGTTGCAATTGACCTTGATGTTCTGAAACGGGAGTAGGCCCCTCTGGCCAAGGTCACTCTAACATACCAAGACTTTCATAGACAAATAGAAAATAGGGTCGTGTTTAATCTTTCTTGGGGAGCTGCCTATCCATGCCCACATTTGCCGATAAGAGGGGGAATATCTCACAGTTTAAGGGATTATCGAACTAAAATCGATCAGCACAGATTCCCATGAAATAGATATTTCAGAAATGAGTCTTAGTCAGCATGTATCTCGTTATGCTGATCACAATTGTGATTATATGTCAACTCCAATTTCTTACTGTTTTACTGAAGGGAGGGTGTTGGATTTCACTTGACGAAACAGGTTGGCTGCATATAGTTAATCTTTTTCATTTCAGCGCAGATCATTTTATTAGACATACAGCACAGAATTGATACTTTACACAAGCATATTAACTGTTCCATACAGAAGTCACAAGGTCTTAAGATTTATCAAACACATGTTGTTTGTGTAGTTCTGATGGCTAAATCACTGTGAGCGATCACTTTCTTTAGAAATCGAGGAAATTGTTAACACTTCTCAAAGTGTGTTGATAGGTTTAATGCAAAGAGTCACGGAGGAGATATTTTGAAAGGGTTTCTGGTGGTTGGGGACATAAGACCTACATGTCAGACAAAATATGTAAAACGTTTAACTGTTAAACCATCATTAAACCACCAGGGAAAGTTATGTCCATTGGAAGTATTAGAATAACTGAATAACTGCCATAGGGCAATTATTTTCATTTAAACAAAATAAAAGTGTACTCATTTTAATAATCTTCTTCATGCCTAATACATTACATGCGTATTAAATAACTATGCCCTCGTGGTGTAAGCCGTTTAATCACCCTCACTACGGTAGTTATTTAATTAAACTGTTTATTTAGATAACTACCTCGTAAGGGTGATTAACCTATACTTACTTTTTAGGAATTTGCATTGGACATTTGACCATTGTATGAACATGATTAATGAAATAGGGGAACAGGTCGCTGCATTTCTCACGTTATATTGGCGAGGTTGTCAAATCATCATTCATGGTAAGTATCAGTTTCCATTTTACGAGTTTGTTGACGTTAAGGATACCTAAAATGTCGTACTTCTTTAGACAGATTAGAACATTCATGTAATATGTATGTGGATAATGAAAACACCATTTACTGTTCTTTTGGGCTTCCAGTTGTCTTCGACCCCCTCTCACTTGAACAGTGGGAAGATGGCAAAATGAGCACATTCAGATATTTGATTTTGATTTCAAGTAGATGTAGGGCAATGAGCAAAATAGGTATTAATCACTCATTGAAACATCTGCTGCATTGCCTGTGGTTGTGACTACTGCCATTTTCATCTGACACTGGCTCAGTGGAATGTTGGCTGTTGTTTTTGTCGTTTGCTCTGTGTTAAGTAAACAAGTTTTTCAAGAGGAAGAATATATCAATGAAACAGTGATAATCGATGTAAGTTCGCCCAGTATTGATTGTCATGAAATAACTATATCTGAAATGGGTCTTACACAGCATGTATCTCGTTAAGCTGATCACAATTCAGAACCACTCGTGTCCCTGTATCTCCAAGTTCTTATTGTTACACTGAAGCTGGAAGTTGAATTTCAAATTTACGTGGCGAAACAGTTTGAAATCTTACAATTTCACCATAGGTAATTTGTTAAGACACTGAAATATATTGAATGAAAAGATCCTTCCACTAACTGAAATTACTCCCTGAGAATTTTCAATGTCTGCATTGTACTAGGTTGTTGCAGTTAATATTCAGCAGGGATTCATCACGTTGGGTTTTGACAATAATGAAAGGTATGGAACGTATTATCATCTAATTCAGGAGCAGTGGAATAGCCTAATGGTTAAAGTGTTCGCTCGTCTCGCCGCTTAGTCTCTTCTTACAGACGAGCATGTGACTCAGGTTCGGTTCCCCACATGGGTACAATGAGTGGAGCCTATTCCTGGTGCCCCCGCCGTGATATTGCTGAAATGTTGCTTAAAGGGGTGTAAAACCATACTTACTCACATGCATCTGATACTTAGTTCCGTTTTGAGTTATGTGTTCTCCTAAATCCCTCAAGACATCACAACATGCTATGGAACATTCTTGAAGTTGTTTACGCGGCAAGAACATGCCTAAGTTATCTCAAATGTGAACAAGACAAATGGTTTGTGTAAACATCTCTCTTGCACTGGATATCCATTGCCTATTTGTGAAGTGCCATTGTTAGATTAATTATAACAAAGGCCATCCACGTTTTTTAATGTTTCTCATCTCAAAACTGGTGCTGATGAGGGGCGGAAAAAAGTGCAGTTTGCCATCTTCTTTTCAAGAAGGTGACAGAAAATGACCCTACTATATACCCTACCAGATCATAAAAAGAGGATTTTGTTATTGTGAGAATCCTTTTTTTCTCAATTCTGACAGTTCATATATCAATTAAATATAAGGAAACTATATGAAATTCTGAGAGAATGCATGTATTGACTTTAGTTATACATTATTGTACAGACTTTTAATAGAGCCTCGTTAATTGCCACATTGTATCACAATACAACAAAGTCACATCTTCAAAACTGCCACTTTTTTTAGAGAGAGTTATTGCTTTTGAAGTTGTTTTTCTTATGCCACGGGTCAAGGCGGTCGTCCACTGGTAGCACACTGGTTGCAGGTCCACAGTTTGTTTAATTTCCAAGTGAAATACCAATTGACAAATAGAAGATAACGGGGAAAACGCCATGGAAATTCCATATATTGTCACGGCATTTCCTACGACAGAACACGAGACAGTGTAAATCTTGGGTGTCGTATCATCTATAAAATAATGAAAACTCACTTTATATGTCAGCAGTTATGTTATTTCCGACGGGATTTCTTCGGCTATTGCCGCAACAACTTTAACAAATAGTTCTCATACTATCACTGACCTCAATGTGAAAAAATCGGAGATGCACCTTCAATCAACGGACCTGTTTCCACTGGAAAGCCTTTATTGCCAATCTGTAATTATTACACATCCCTGAAAATTGAAGAAATTCTGTGTAGACTGTAACATTTAGTAATAAGTGTGAATAGTACGTCTTGGTCAGCAGTTCCTCACACATATGATTTCATTTGTCTTCAAATTCTGACCTTATAAGTAGTCGTTTACAGAGATTTGTCTCAACAAACAACAGATTTTTCTGGCCACCCAAGTGGACGTGTATGATAGAAGAACAAGACATATATATCTCCTTGTTTTGATAACATTATGTTAATAAAATATTTCATATGACAGACTATATACTATCTAGCTAAAGTTTCATATTCTGATCTTCATTCAACAGTTCTCGAAGAAAACTTTGTTAGGAACTAACACAGAAAAAGTGTTTAAAAGTAAACATACTAAGCAGCAAAAAAACCGTCAGTTTGGAATTCTCTTTCGCAGAAACGGATAAATGTAAACTCGTGTATAGAGATTTGTCTCAACAAACAACAGATTTTTCTGACCACCCAAGTGGATGTGTATGATAGAAGTACAAGACATATATATCTTCTTATATACTATATACTAACTAGCAGAAGCTTTATATTCTGATTTTTTAACATTAGGCTAATGAAATATTTCATATGAAATACTATATACTAACTAGCAAAAGCTTTATATTCTGATTTTTATTCAATAGTTCTCGACGAAAACTTAAGCTTTATGTCTGTTTGTTAGGAACTAACACAGAAAATGTGTTTAAAATCAAACATACTAAGCAGCAAAAATTGTAATTCATTTAATGTTTTGATTGAATATTTTTGACAGCATCTCCAACTTTACCTGAGCAAAGACATTCCTTCTCAAACTCAGAATGGAACCCAGGAAATGGCCTCAAAAACGCAAACTGTACTGTGTCAATCTCAGGCAAGATAATATAACAGCAAATTAACCCATATTGCATCGGAATCTTCAAACTTTATTCCTTAGAGCGGGTAAAAAATCTGTGTAAGCCATAAGTTGTGCCTCTTTTACACGTATATGGAAGATTTGCTCCCAAACCGAAACCCGATAAGACCATGCGGTGTAGCCCATCACTTTTTATCTCTCTCCTGGGGAGTTTCAAAACGTAACATATGGAAAAGAAAAGAAACGTAAGTAAAATGTGAAAAAGAACCGAAATTAGAATGAGCAACAGAACTGAATATACCGAATATCATTGCACACACATACATATATACATACACCAAATTAAGATAAAGCCATGAGAACATGACTCTTTAACACTAACTCAAATGTTCTGAAATAAGTTAAATGTACTACACTAATTCTAATCAGATATCAACAATATCAAAGAGTCACTGTTGCTGTACTAGCGATCATACAAACCTCGCCCACAGCTCATGCCGACGTAAATATGACGGATATTGCAGAGCTGTCTTGTTTCCTACCAGCATCTGAGATGGGGGTGAGACAGGTGATTGTGAGGAGTCCTACAAAGTCTTGTTCACTAGACCCTATGCCGACTGAAGGAGTGTCTGTATGACCAACAATAACCAGTGTGATCAATGCTTCATTCAGTCAAGCTTGTGTTCCAAGCACCTTCGACTTAGCATCTATAACACCACAGATCAAGAAACCTCAGCTGGATTCAAACAGCCTAAACAATTACAGACCAGTCTCCAACTTGCCCTTTGCTGCTAAGGTCATGGAGAGAGTGGTAGCGTCAAGGCTTCATGATCATATCATCAGAACTGGGAAAACAGAAACGTTGCAGTTTGCATACCGATGTCATCATAGCACGGAAACGGCTCTTTTTGCGTGTGCAGAGTGAATTGCTGCAGGCAATTGATTCAGATGGTGCGGCAGTGTTGGTGTTGCTCGATTTGTCAGCTGCTTTTGACACAATTGACAAGTCCATTCTTCTCAACATATTGAATGAGAGATTCAATGTCACTGGTGAAGCTTAATTCTGGCTGGAGTCCTATCTGTCAGGACGATTTCAGGCTGTGAGAGTCAGTGGGCAAATGTCAGAGAAAGTTAGCCTCAAGTATGGAGTTCCTTAGGGTTCTGTACTGGGACCAGTGTTGTTCATTATCTACACATCACCTCTCGGAGACATTGCTTGCGCCAATAATCTCTCGTTCCATCTCTACGCTGACGGCACCCACCTGTATCTGGCCTTCAAGCCTTCCAACAGAACACCAGTAGAGGATACATATCGTCGTTTGATAAACTGTATCAAGGACATCGAGGATTGGATAACCCTAAACTTTCTCAAGCTCAACAGTTAGAAGACGGAACTGCTGATTCTCTCTTCAAAGTCAACGAGAGGCAAACGTGCTCTGCCCACCTTTGAAATTGATGGCTGCATCATCGAACCAAGCGCAGAAGCACGAAATTTGGGATTTGTATTTGACTCATTTATGAATGCTGAGTCCCATGTAAACAAAGTATGCAGACATGCATATTTTAACATCCTAAACATTGCCCAAATACTTCGATTTGTAAATCTAACGACCGTAACATCTCTTGTTCAGTGTTGTGCTGTGTCCCATTTTTTAAATTACTGCTATGCTCTTCTAATTGGACTACCAAAGCAATTGATAGCAAAGCTGCAGCACGTTCGGAATTATTGCCGCTAGACTTGTGACAAAGGCAAAGAAAGACAGCAACAGTGCACCAGTGTTAAATAAACTTCATTGGTTGAAGGTAGCGGACAGAAACACTTATAAAGTGCTCCTGTTAACCTTCAAATCAAGGACAGGCCTAGCCTCTGTGTATCTCCAGGCCTAGTGTTGCAGGGAGACGTGCCTTACCTGAAGTTCATAAGAATCAAATGCCTCTACCCGTGGTTACGAATACCTTAAGGATACCTAGAATGCTTAACTTTGTCAGTGGTGTGGTTGATATGTGCCTGGATTAATGCTATGTTTCAAATCACTTAAGATGGCTATGTTATGCATTGTTTAGATTGGATAGTAATTATAGGAATACGTAACGTACCTGTCGGTTTGTAATATGGGTTAAGATGCGGGTTACAATTGATATTCAGTAATCCATGCTTGCCGTAAGAGGCAACAAATGTAGATCGGGTGGTCATGCTCGCTGACTTGGCTGACTCATGTCATCGTATCCCATTTGCATAGATCGATGCTCATGCTGTTGATTACTGGATTGTCTGGTCCAGACTCGATTACTTACAGACCGAGACCATACAGCTGCAAATTGCTGAGTGTGGCGTAAAACTAAACTCACCCACTCACTGAAATTATGGTTTTTCACAACATACATGTTGCAAATGTCCCTGACACCTTAAAAGGGGGTAGGTCACCATTGAACATGGTCACGGTAAAAAGCTGGCAATACCTTCGTAACTGTAAATGGTTTAGATGTGCTGATAAGATTGAGAACATGTCAAAGTATTTGTGATTGAAAAAATAAAATTGAACAATATAGCAAGCCTATAAATACCTATGTCTGATACACGTCATAATCAGATACTATGTCCCTATGCAGATCACATTATTGACCTCATTGTCCCCGTAACTCCGATTACTTACTCTTACACTAAAGGTTGGGAGTAAAAGCTTACCTTTCGAAGCACAGACGGAATATGTTTAAGAGAGTTATGCATGCGTTTGA